GAGGGGAGGGCAGAGATGCAGGGACCCCAGGCGTGGGGGGGAGGCAGGACCCCAGGGAGGGGAGGCGGAGGGAGACACAGGGACGTTAGACCCAGAGAGAAGAGGGAAGGGGAGGTAGCTCCTTGATTTCAGACCCAAAAGGGAGGCACAGGGACCCTAGCTCTAGGAAGGCTCAGGGAAGACAGGTGTGGAGACCTCAAGACCAGGAGGAGCCCATGTACCCCAGAACTGGGTTGGGAAGCTATGGGAGCCCCAACCTCCAGCTGCCAATCTGAAACCTTCACCCCCAGAGCCAGGGAGACTTAGGGATCCCAGACCCATAAAGGGGGGCACAAGGACCCCAAATCTAGGAAGGCCCAGGGAGAAAAGCACAGGACTGCAGACCCAGGGTGGAGAGGGAGGGGATCCCAGACCCAGGAAGAGGCCCACGTACTCCAGAACCTGCCCAGACTCAAACCTTCACTTCCAGACCTAGGTAGGCCTGGGAACCTCAGAGGTAGAGCCCACCGACTCCAGGGCATCAGACCTAGCAGACCCCAAGGCTGGACCCCAGCAGACCAAAGCCCCCAGAGCCAGAAGGGACAGCTGGGCCAAGATACCGCAAGCCCAGGGAGGCCAATGCCCCCAGACCCTGTCCGTTGCCCAGATGCTGTACCCCTCTCCGCCCCCAGCAGAACGCCCCCTATTCCTGTTGAGCGCTCCTCCCCACCCCCCTCCAACCCCACAGACAGTGCTGACACCGGTGGAGGTGGCCATCGAGGACATGCAGAAGAAGACCCGAGAGCTGGCCTTTGCCACTGAGCAGGACCCACCGGACGCCAAGATGCTGCAGATGGTTCTGCAGGGCTCCGTGGGGCCCACCGTGAACCAGGCACGGCGGGGGGGATGTGGGCCCTCCGGGTCTCCAGGCGCCACGCAGGTGCACTCATGAGGCTCCTCACCCTGCAGGGTCCCCTGGAGGTGGCCCAGGTGTTTCTGGCAGAGATACCAGAAGACCCCAAGCTCTTCCGGCATCACAACAAGCTTCGGCTCTGCTTCAAGGACTTCTGCAAGAAGTAAGCTCCAAACCCTCCTTACTCGAACCCCTGCTGCCTGGCCTCACCCTGTCTCCCAGTCTCCCTCCCACCTGACTCCCATCGGGTGCCTTCTCCCTTTCTGATCTCCCATTGCGGGTCCCTCTGCCTGCCTGGCCCCACCACATGGGCTCCCCCACATCTGGGTTTTTGTCTGTTTGTTTATTTGGGTTTCTTCTGAGTCAGAGTCTCACTGTGTCACCCAGGCTGGAGTGTGGTGGCACGCTCATGGCCACTGAAGCCTCGACCTGCTGAGTTCGGGTGATTCTTCCACCTCAGCCTTCCAAGTACCTGGAACTACAGGCACACGCCACCACACCCAGCTAATTTTTTATTTACTGTAGAGGTCTCGCCAAGTTGCCTAGGCAGGTCTCGAACCCTTGGGCTCACAATCCTCTAGACTTTGCCTCCCAAAGTGCTGGGATTATAGGTGTGAGCCACCGCGCCCAACCCCCACATCTGTTTTGTGTTTTTTTGTTTTGTTTTGTTTTGTTTTTTTGAGTTGGAGTCTCACTCTGTCCCAGGCTGGAGTGTAGTGGCACGCTCATGGCCACCGCAGCCTCGACCTGCTGGGTTAAGGTGATCATTCCACCTCAGCCTTCCAAGTAGCTGCAACTACGGGCACCCACCACCATGCCTGGCTAATTTTTTTATTAACTGTAGAGATGAGGTCTTACCAAGTTGCCCAGGCTGGGGTCTCGATCCTGTGAGCTCAGGCAATCCTCTCACCTCAGCCTCTCAAAGTGCTGGGATTATAGGTGTCACCTACTGCACCCAGACTTTTTTTGTTTGTTTTAAGACAGGGTCTCACTCTGTTGCCCAGGCTGGACAGAGCATAGTTAACTGCAGCCTCGAATTCCTGGGCTCAAGCAATCTCCTTCCTCAGCCTCCTGATACAGGTGTGTGCCACCATGCCTGGCTAATATTTACACTTTTTTGTAGAAATGGAGTCTTGCAGCAGGGTGCAGTGGCTCACACCTGTAATCCCAGCACTTTGGGAAGCAGAGGCAAGAGGATTGCCTGCACCCATGGGTTTGAGACCAGCCTGGGTAACTTGGCGAGACCTCGTCTCTACAATAAATTTTGAAAAGAGAAAATTAGCCAGGTGTGTTCCTGTGCACCTGTAGTTCTGGCTACTTGGAAGGCTAAGGCGGAAGGATCACCTGAGCCCAGCAGGCCGAGGCTGTGGTCGCTGTGAGCGTGCCACTGCCCTCCAGTTCGGGCGGCAGAGTGAGACACCAACTCAAAAAAAGAAAGAAAGAAAGTCTCACTATGTGGCTCAGGCTGGTCTTGAAGTCCTGGGCTCAAGCGACCCTCCCGCCTCAGCCTCCCAAAGTGCTAGGGTTATGGCCTGAGCCATGGCACCTGGCCCGGCCCTGCCTTCTCTCCTGAGGGCGCGCCCTGAGCCTCTCCTGCCTCCCGCCCGCAGATGTGAGGACGCACTGCGCAAGAACAAGGCCCTGATCGGACCGGACCAGAAGGAGTACCACCGCGAGCTGGAGCGCAATTACTGCCGCCTGCGGGAGGCGCTGCAGCCCCTGCTCACCCAGCGCCTGCCCCAGCTGCTGACACAACCGGCCACCAGCCTCAGGTGCCTCACTTAGACCCCTGGAGAGGGCCCCTGCAGGCAGCCCAGGGCAGACACAGGGAGGGGCTGGCATACACGGCCACAGCCTCGCGTGGGCTTGTGGGTTCCAGCCTGCACGAGGACTGTGTCGTCCAGGCGCAAAAAGGCAGGGCAGGCCCTGGGCAGGCACTTTCCAGGCGTGTGCATTCATCTTTCTGAACCTCAGTTTCCACATCTGTAAAATGTAGGGATAATTCCTAGCTGCCATGGTAGGTTCCAAGGGAGAGTCTGTATATCCCACCACCAAATCTGGATGGATGTGGAGGGAGGCAGGAGAGACCCTGAGGTGGGGAGAGGAGGAGCACCCTGCAGCTGGGGAGGAGGGGGAGGGGGAGGAGAACCAGGACAAGGAGGAGGAGGGTGGGGGAAGCACTGTGAGGTTGTGGGGCCTGCGGCCATGCTGACACCCCCCGTTCCTTCCCCAGGAACTCCCTGAACAGAGCCAGCTTCCGGAAGGCAGACGTCTGAATCCACAGGGCCTGAAGACACTCCCGGAGAAACTAGCCTCCAGGCTGGGCTGTCTGTGCCCTCCTGGTAGTGCACCGCGCTACCCACTGGGTGTGGGGTGACCACACTCCTCGGGCTGGGCCTCCTTCCCTCTGACTCCTCCTGTCCGTGTGCACTGATGCTGCCTCCCTTTTTTAATTTAAATGGTTTTTATAAACAACCCAGGCGTGTGGTGTGTCACCCGGAGCTGTGTTCTGTGCTTGGTCCCCACAGCCTTACAACCTGCACCATCTACACGGACACTGAGACCCCCGTGGGTGTCGGGGACATGGCGGTGACAACACAAATTCCTGCCTGGCGGAGCTGGCCTTCTAGTAGAGGAGCCAACACACAACATCACATGCCCACCAGGAATGATAATACTTTTTTTTTTTGAGTCAGGATCTCACTCTGTCACTCAGGCTGGAGTGCAGTGGCATGGTCACCGCTCACTGCAGCCTCAGCCTCCTGGGCTCAGACTGCCTCAGCCTCCCAAGTAGCTGGAAACAGGCATGCACCACCACACCCTGCTAATTTTTTGATTTATTATAGAGATGAGGTCTGGCCATGTTGCTCAGGCTGGTCTCGAACCCCTGGACTCAGGAAATCCTCCCACCTAGGCTTCCCAAAGTGCTGGGATTACAGGGTGAGCCACCATGCCCAACCAGTAATAATACTTCTTAAGCCCTTGCTGAATGCCTGGCCTGCACTAAAACAGCTTCCAGAAAGATCTCTGCAAGAGGCAGCCACCTGGTGTGAGGGCCGTCTGACCCGTTAGGCCGCTGCCTGATGGTTAGTGAGTCTTTCCCAACATCCACGGCTCAGGGAGGCAGCCCGTTTTGCAGAGGGGAGACTGAGGCACGGAGCACCAAAAAGCGTGGAGGGTCTGGGACTGGAATCCAGGTCTGGCTGGCTCCAGCACCCAGGCCTGTGCCGTCTCCGCCGAAGCAGTCCTCCTCCCGGGTGCCAGGCCTGTGCTGGGCCGCTTCCAGCCTGGGCCGCCTGGGGGAGGGGTGACCTCCCGCCGCCGCCCTCCCGGAGCTGGGCCCCGGCCAGGTCCACCACTCCAGCGGCGCGGCCGTTCCGCTCCCCCCCAGCGCTCCGGAGGCAGCGGGTGGTGGGGCAAGGCCAGCCGAGGGGACACCCCGCCCGGGAACTCGGGAAAGGGGTTGGGGCCGGACACTGGCGCGCGCACGCACCTGCCGCCCAGGTGAGACCGCGCTTCCCCGGCAGACACACA